CGCCCCCCGTCCCGCCCGCCGCCCTCGCACTGGACCAGTGCAGTAGTCGGCCCGCGTGCGGTGGATCCGGCCTGGGGCCGGGGCCCGGCCCTGGATCGGGCCCTGGCCCTGGCCCCGGGCCGGGGGCCGGCCCGGCGCACGCTCGGAGCCTGGGCGACCTGTCTGCCAAAGTGACGCTGGGGGAGCGCGGGGCGACGGTGGTGTCGGCGGCGTCCGGGGCCGTCACCGTGATAAATGTGCAGCACGGTGGCAGCAAGCCAGTGACGGACACTGCCCTCGCGGATGAGGGTGAGCAACCATGTTGATGCGTTCTGTAGTGTTATTATGACTATCCCCTCTTTTTCATACGAGATATATCATTCGTTTATTCAGGGGTGAATCCAGAGGAAAATTTTTGAAGGGGAAATTTAAAATGTGTATGTAGAATCATCAATTATCAATTTGACTTTCAATTTTATTGTGAAATTTTCATGCCTAATACATCTACTTGTCCTGCATATAAAGCTAAGTTATAAGTAGGGAAAGATTTTTATGTTATATAAATGCGAGGATTATGCATATAATTATTCTTTAAAAAAATGTAAAATGTGCAAACTTTTTATAGACTTATGGATTAAAACATTACTGAATCTGCTCTGATCAGCAATAAAGCTGGTAGAAGAACAATTTTCAGATGTCAAGTGATTAAAAATTCATCACTTAAATATTGTCTGACAATCTTTTAACAATAATTTTAACAGCAGGTATTGATGTATATGCAGAATAAGAGCCAAAAAGCATTAAAGATGCACCTTTGAAAGAAAATATGTGGACATACCCTATTAATGTAATCTCAATATCACATAGTTGTTACAAATAAAATAAAAGTTATTACCTAAAGCAGTAGAAAATAACAAAATGCAAATCATATGCAAAAATCATACTAATCTGCTCTCTAGTTTTGACATTAAACAGAAATAAACTACTGTTCAGCATCAAAATTGCAACTTGCTTAGGTCTACTGAGTATTTAATGGCACTAGAATTTCACCTGCATAATGTGTTTTCCTAATGCTTTCAGAAAGTGCTGTAATGCAGCATCATCATCTGCAGCTCACTAATAAACCTGATCTGGCTGTGACAGCCAATGGTGTAGTTAATACCATGCCCTGTGAGGATGATGACGAAGAGGATGAAGATCTTTCAGGGTCAGATGGGGAAGTGAGCAAAATTGATTTCACAGGTACAGTCACTATGGACATTTTATTGAAATGACTTTTTTTAATGTTTTTATTTTGATGTAAATTTATACTTTTTTAATGATTTTAGGTGTAAATTTAAGAAATAAAAAGAAGAGAGTTGTTGGAGAAGATTCCCAAGATGGCTTTGAAGAACCTGAACGTCCAATGTCTTGGGAAGGAGAGTTGTCTGATGCTGAAATGAGCATCATTACAAGCAATATTAACAAGGTAGGAAAATATTATAACTAAAAGAACTCATCAGAAATATAATTGGACTTTCGAACATGTTTTAAAAACAATGTGCCTTCTCCATTCCCCAAGGTAGATTAATTCTGCATTTTAGTTATTTCATATTGGAGTTTAAAGTTTCTAATGTGTTTGATTTGACATAATTCCCATACACTTCTCAGAAGAATTCATGTAACATATGGAGTATGAAGTAACTTCATACCATTATTATATCTTTCTGAATATTCCATATTTGAGGTGAACTGATATTATTTCATCAATAAAAATTATCTTGATTTTCCCTGTTCTAAATTATTTAAATGTGTAATTTGTTTTTATTTATTTTGTGTGAGAAATGTTTAAAGAAATGAATGTGATGTTTAAAAATGAATATTTTATTAGGACCATGAAGAAACGTCAATGGAAGGAGTGCAGATATGTGGGGTCAACTCCATTCATGAGCATGGAGATGATAAACCTCATACATTTGAAGAAGCTGCGGTAATGTTCTATTCTGCTATGTTTTATATTTAAATCTATTGTAATTATTAGCATTTCAGAGCAGTGCCATTGTGTGTGCTTTAAAATATAAAATTTATAAAGCTAAGTTTTCTTAAATTTTTTTTCTCCCTGGCAGGTGGAAATGCGATCCTCCAAGCAGTTACCTCATCAGCCATTGGTAACAAATGCTGGAATTCCTACAATGGGGACAGGAACTTCTGGGGCTACAGCTTCTGTGGCCAGTGAGCTGCCTCTGTTAGTGGATAAACTTTTGGGCTATGGAAACACAACCCCTTCCCATAGCCCAGTTCTTCAGCAGAGGCATTCTCATGCCCTCAACACGAAGGCTCAACCGCTGCCTCCTTCACAGGCTGTTCCTCCAACACCTTCCCCAGATTCAGCTATTCATTCAGCTTATTCATACTCATCTCCTGCTCAAAGTCCTGTTATTTCACGTCATGGAAGCAGCCATGGTAGGTTTTCTCTCCTAATGTGAGAGGTTTTATTACATGCAATCACATGGTGGAACTTCAAATTGGGTTTCATTTTTAAAAATATTCTTCATTTTGAAAACATTTTGTTGATAAATGCACACTTGCTAAAGAGAATGTTTGAAATATAACAAAACAACATATATGAGAATTCTCTAAATAAGCCTGTATCAAGTATTACATCCTAGCTTTTGGGACAATGACCCCATCTCAATCAGGTTTTCCATATTTTTATCCACTTGCCATGAACCTTTGAGCAAATGTTGAGATGGCTTCTTGTTTTGCTTTTGAACATACATGTAACTTCACTATAACTATGATTTCATGGCAATAAGTCTATTACTTCAAGAAGGGCACATGAGGGATAGTAGAACAAATCAGAAGCTTATATGCTTTTACAAATAGTTTTTATTACACGGAAGTGAATATTTTATCAATTCTTGTGAAAAACACTAGTTTCTATCTATATTCAGAATTCAACTTGTATGTGGGTTAGAAAAGGGATCCCAGAATTTGAAAAAACATACCCAAAATACATTTCTCCTCATAGTACTTCAGAGGTTTTAACTCTTTCTGACATTAAATAAATAAATAAATAAATAAATAAATAAATAAAAAATTGTTTTAAAAAATCTTTTAATTATGTTAATGAAGTTCAGGGGTTCATACTTGGTAGAATAGCAGAAAGTTATGTTTATGGTCAATTCTGATGTAATATTACAAAAGTATATTTTTTCTCTCTTTCTCATCTGAGATCAGTGCTTGATATTTATTAAGTTTTCTTCTTATTTAAATTCATTATTTTAATTGCTTGTTTCAGGCTTGCCATCATCAGGATTCAGTTCACCCTACACTCCTTCACTGTCACGTAACAACTCTGATGCTTCTCAGTATGGAGGTTCCCAGCACAGTAGTTGCTACAGTTACAGTTCCGTATCAGTATCACCCACCCAGTTTTCACCAACTCATTCACCCATCCAGTCCAGACACATCCATGGTGGACCTCCTGCTGGTTTCCCTTCTCCAGTGATGCCTCGTGGTGCAGCTCCAGACTTTGCCTCCTCCGGTTCAGTCAGTTCTCCACTTCATATGATGGCAGGTGGAGTACTATATGGAGGTGTTGCGTTGCCGAGAGGCACAGTTGTTCCTGTTGATGAACAGGATGGTTCATCCACGGATGCTAATGGTAATTTTGTGGTCTAAGTAACCAAGCCTTTATTTGTATTATCGTATTGTTTTCCTTTGGATTTGCTTGGTTGTTATGAATACCTTCTTACATTGGTACTAGCAGTCTTGAAAGATTGTGCGTAACATTGTGAGTCGTTGAAATGTTTAATAATTTCAACTCAGCAGATGAAAAGTACAAACTGACAAGCTTCTCCTTGTGCCAATAGATTTCTTCGTTTAAGTTTTAAAACTTGTTTTTATTAAGTTCCTGCTATTTCAAAGTGTATTGGTGATCATTTATAATTTGAACTCATTATTATTAATTGTAACATCTGCCAACTTTAACAGACCTCCTCAATTGCCACCACCTTGTTATTTTGTCAGAATGACAATTATGTCAGAAGTATGTATATTCTACAAAATAAATGTCATCCATATCAAAATACTGTTACCATGTAAGAAATGTATTCTGTAATTCAAATTGTCCAATGCATTAGTTCCTGGTTGAAATAATGTGCTTTGAACAACTTGAATTGTGACAAAAAAGTAAATCACTTTTTAGACTCATTTTAAAATATCTTAATTTCCTTTCAGTCTATAATTTGTAAAATCATGAAATCTAATTGATGTAAAATAAGTTTTAAGTGCAGATTAAATGTGAAATCAGTACTTCTGTTCTGCTTTCACTAATATGTTTAGACTTACAATTAACTTATATTTTGCTTATAGATGATCGGGACAGTAATAGTATTCTGGATGACAAAATGTCTTCCTTAGCAGCAGATTTGGTCCAGCACTCAAATTTAGCTGCCCCTCCTGGAATTTCAAGACAACAACTTATCAACAGGTAGAAAACAGTTTGAACCAAATGTTGAAAAGGAAATGTGCTCAGTGTACTTCTTTGGACTAATTTTTCTTTATTTTCTTTTCTTTTCATTTTTAGTCCGTGTCCAATATGTGGTGATAAGATCTCAGGCTTTCATTATGGAATATTTTCATGTGAAAGCTGCAAGGGCTTTTTTAAAAGAACTGTGCAGAACCGTAAGAACTATGTTTGCCTTCGTGGATCTTCCTGCCCCGTGACCATTGCAACAAGAAAAAAATGCCCAGCTTGCCGATTTGAAAAGTGCCTCAAGATGGGTATGAAACTTGAAGGTTAGTGAAATACAAGACATTTCTTTACTGAACATAGAAGTTCTGCATGAGCATTTAAAAAGATGTGATATTCAGTTGTCAACCAATTACTTACTTGAATGTCTGATGTGGGATATTTCTACATTTTTTGTTTCATTAATCAATTCATTCAAATTATTTGTCTTAAAACAATAAAAGATCTATAATTTCAATTGGAAAGGGAAAGTTATTGTCAGTTAACCTACCATTGTGACTTGCTGAAGAGAAGCATTCTTTTCCATCAGATGCATCTGAAATTGATTCATTATATAATGCATCAGGTAAATTTTATGGGCAGGAAGTAGAGTAATTAGAAACTGCTTTTCAGTGATCTTTTTACATTACATTGTCATGGAAGCCTTGTGCAAGATGGAGCAAGTGATATCTAGTGCTAGTGACATTAACTCTGATCTTTCAATCTCTTTAAATAAATTAAAAAAGCAGTTGTTTAATTTTGGGTACCTTATTTATCAAAATATGAGATATTTTCCTAAATATCTAGTTTGAAAAATACGGGGTCATCATATATTAGCAGATTAAGCCTAGACCGTTAGTATTTCTATTTTTACATTGCCTCTCCATAGCACTAAAATCGTAATTGTTGATGTGATTTTAAGTTATGTTGTGTTACATATGAGTATGGGGATGTTAGTTTAGTGTTACTTGCCACTGATAATTATTTTAAAACAGTCTTATACTAATATGTTAAAATATTAACAAATTAAATTTAAAAAATACAAGTAAAATAAAAAGTTATGATGTAATATAAATTGTTAGAGAATAAATGGAAGTACTTTTGTATCATTAGTATCTATTTGAAAGAAAAAGGGGAGGGGGGATTTCACACTGATCTACAGCATACTCTCGAATCCAGTTAAATTAGTGCAGTAGACTCACCCATGCATCATCTATGACGGACCATGAATGGCTTTCTTTCTTTTCTTTTTTTCTCTTTACGTCCTTCCTGCACTTGGAAGTTGTTCCTAATCTTGTTAGTTGATGCAGTAAACATTGCCAACTAATTCTGTCTATATATCATCAATTTTAACATACAACACAAATTGAAATAAAACTAATTCTTTTTTCTATTTCTATATTATGTTTAATTTATGATTACTTATGGTCAATGGGGGGATGTTTTCGCAAGCAGTACTTATTATTTAGGGTGTTCAAGCACGCGTTACAGGTGCGTAACAGAGGGAAGATGGGGCATTGAAAATACTCCACATTTGCATTACATAATATATGGGCTTTCCCTCACCTGAGAAACAGGGATGTAAGAGTGCGCAGTTCACAACTCGATCACATCTTAAACAATGTGAATTTGAAGTATATGTTAAAAAATGTGAAAGAACTGTTAAAGAAAAAGGGCCACGAACAAGAGGGCGATGGAAAGAAAATCTGGTGACATTGAACATGCAAAATCATCAGAGGAGCCTAGAAGTCAAAAGACAACACAGCCTGGATGGAGGACCAAAAAGAATGAAAAAATTATACATGTGAAGAAAAAAGTGTCAATAACCATGATTTTAAGGAACTAGGAAGTAGTTATAGCTCAGGCAATAAGTTTTTAACATTTTCATGAAGACAATGTTTTAGTCAATTAAACAATTTGCCATTGTACTTTAAAAAAAAAAATAGGGAGAATTAGTTAAAAATTTTTAAAAATCTCAGGAGCCCTCTTCAAAATTAGGATGTCATGTTATATTCAGAGTCGACTTATACACAGATAAACACAATAATCAAGGTTTTACTGCAAAGGTGCGTGTGTAGATATTTTTCACATGCTTTGAGTAAATCATCTCTTTGAGATCAGTATGAAAAATCATTTGAGGTAGAAAATTGTTCCAATAATTGGTATTCCTTTGCTTCAAAACTTCAATGGTAAAAAGGTAGTATATAATAGACCTTATTTTCATGGATAGTTGTTGACTGTAATATACATTTTGAAAGTGTGCCATTTTCTCATTGTTAACTAACTTAAATTTTTCTCTACAGCAATTCGGGAAGATCGTACACGAGGGGGTCGCAGCACATATCAGTGTTCGTATACCTTACCTGCCAGCCTTGTTGCACCAGCAGGTGATGTGTCGAACCACAAGCTTCTTGCTTCCTCTGGTGATCCCCAGGTCAAGCTGGAGGCTCCAGATGTGGGAGCAGTTGCTGGCAGTAGTGCAGCAAGTGGCATAGCCTCTAACAGTCGGCACTCGGACAAAGCCATACCACAATTATTGCAGGTACATTACCTCCCAAGTTTATACAATACTCTTACAATCAGTTTCCAAATTTTTTTAGAAGTCATCATATGTTTACATTGAATGAGTGAGGAAAAATAAGAAAGATGTTTCTAGGTAACATAATTTATTGAATAAATGAAATGTTTTAAAATGTGGTAGAAACAATCCTTCAGGTGTGCTTTTTTTGAGAATCATTTTTAGTGTTAACAGTCTGGTGTAGTACTTTGCTTTTGAGTACTTAGGTTTAACTTTGTGAGGCTTTATAGTAGAATTGTAATCTACAATTAAGAGAAGTGGAGTTCCACCACCACCCATCTTTTAGATTATTATGCTGAGACATCAAAAATTTGAGGATAAAATAATTCAATATTACTTCAAAATATCAGAGTGTATAATACTATGTGCATAATAAAGAAAGCATAGTACAAGCAAAAGTACTTGAATTTCTTGTATTACTTGCTGAATACAAGTCACATGACATCTTTGAAGTTACATAAAGACATATTGGCAATTCTTGTTGATTAGGTCCCAATAAATTACCTTTATAATGCTCTTAGTAATTTAATTTAATATATAATTTGGTTCACTATTTCAGGATATTATGGATGTGGAACATTTGTGGTATTACAATGATCAGGAAATTCAAAAACTTGCTGGTCACAATGGCAATAACAGTAGTAGCAGTAGTAGCAGCAGCAGTAGCAGTAGTAGCTGTAGCAGTAGCAGCAGTACCAGTACGAGTTCCAGTGCCAACAATAACCCAGACTTCATTTCCAATCTTTGTAATATTGCTGATCATCGGTTGTATAGACTAGTTAAATGGTGCAAAAGCCTTCCTTTATTTAAAAATATTTCGGTAAGTAAATTCTACTATACTTTTTCATTTATTTGTTTTAGTTAGTTAATTTAAAACTTGGAGGCAAAAAATTATGAAGTTGTTCAAAAGACTCTTCAGTAAAACGACTTAGTTCTTATCTGGTGCATGAAATATTGAGTACTCATGTAATAATAGTAAAAAAAATTTTTTAAAAATGTGCAGAATTTGTGGAAATGTGAACATTAATTAGAAAGAAAGATCGATGCTGTTTCTTTGTTAAACTTTTGTTTTGCCTTTATTTATTTTTTAGGGCTAGATACTTTCATACAAAATCATTAGTCTACACATAAATAAGGACTAAAAGTCCAATCATATTTCTTGATAGTTTTATTATCAATTAGGGCAAACGTTGAGAGCTAGATGTGTCCTGTTTCAACAAGTAAAGCCAATTAAACTGCCAGTGTTTCAAGGTTTTCTTTATGTATTATTGAAACACATTTTGCATTGCATTGTCATAGACTTGTCTACAGACTTTAATGGTATGATGAATATATGTAACACAAACGTGTTAATACAGTTCATGCATAAGGAAAATAAAGACATAAAGCAGGTCAACGGAAAAATATTTTCTGCAGAAGCCTAACTACGGCTATAACAGCAAACAAAATTACTTCTGATTTCTCTGAAGTTCCAACTGCCAGAAGAAAAAAAAATGAAGAGTGAAAATTTTTATGAAAACTTGGACTGTGGAACTGAGGTTTTATTAAGTTTGTTAAGAACGAAAAGTTCATATTATAATGTTATACTCGCTGGCACTTTCATTACTTTTTACATTTTTTCCTCTGGTACTTTCGACAGGCAATATTGTTACACTTTGAAAATTACTTTTTTTATGTAAACTAAGTAAGGTTAGTTAGTAAGTAAAGTTAGATTTAAGTTAGGTTTTTTATACAAAGGGTTTGTTTTGTTTAAAAAAGAATTATTCACGACTTCCAATTACTAGAGAAAATAGAAACCTACTTGCATGTTCAAATTGTGATTATTAATATTTTCTAAATATGTAATATGTCTATCCACAGATTGATGATCAGATCTCACTGCTAATAAATGCCTGGTGCGAATTGCTACTATTCTCGTGCTGCTTCCGATCTATGTCTTCACCAGGGGAAATCAGAGTGAGCTTGGGGAAATCTATCAGCCTTTCTCAAGCTCGTGAAATGGGTCTTGGTGCATGCATAGAGCGTATGCTAAATTTCACTGAACATCTGCGTCGATTGCGTGTAGACAAGTACGAATATGTTGCCATGAAAGTCATCGTATTACTTACATCAGGTACAGGAATTTTGTTTTTGTTATTTAATTTATGTAAGTAGTATATTTTGTCAACAATAATTATGGCTCAGAATTTAATTCTCAAAATTTTCAGTCTTTTGATGCTGGTGTCTTGTAAGGATATTGTTCAAAAAATCTTTATTTCCTTTTATAACTTAACAGCTTGAAGATTAGTTCCATTTTGCCATTAAGAACTTGTGTCTTCCCACCCTCATACCTCGTGAACATAGACAGATTTTAATGATTTACCAATTTTCAAAATGGGAGTGTGTTAAAGGTTATGCAAAGGTCTAGAAATATCGATTTTTAAAGTATGAAATTGGACACAATTGAACTGTCCTGTATTTGAAAGATGATTTTAGCAAGGAATCTACATGGTTTAAAGACTTCCTTTTGTTAATTTTTTTTTCAAATTTCTAGAAAAATCTAATTTTTTTTTAATGAACAATTAAAAAGTATGTGTGTTGAAGGGTATAATAAGAAATGTAAAGGTCTCTTTGTATTTAGATGGAATGATACTATTATTCTCATGTTCATTTTTTACTTCAACCCTAATTTTGTGCATTTTTTCTTTTTGTTAGTACTTAACTTTCTAAAGATATTTCTTTCTCATAATCCTTTTTTGTTATTGTTTGTAATTAATTCATGAAATACCCAATTCTTTCAGATGCAAATGATTTGAAAGAATCAGAGAAAGTTCGTGCTTCGCAGGAGAAAGCTCTTCAGGCCTTACAACACTACACTCTGTCCCATTATCCAGATATACCTTCCAAATTTGGAGAACTTCTTTTAAGAATTCCTGAATTGCAAAGAACTTGCCAAGTAAGTAGTATTTCTTATATCAGATATATTCATTGTTCTACATTGCAGCAATTTGTGTAAGGTTCCGTGTTTCTAGTTATTTCTAAAAAGGACATTTGCTGCTTATGCTTGCACATTGGGTTTCAATATTGTACCATTGCATTTTGATCAAGAATTTCAAAAAATTTTGAAAATCATACCTTACAGCTAAACAAAAGGTTGCAAAATCACTCTCTTTCACTAATGTGCTCTGTAAAGCTTATATTTCTTTCATGATTGATTTGATTTCAGGTTGGAAAGGAAATGCTGTCTGTTAAAAATAAAGAAGGAGAAGGTCCCAGTTTCAATTTGCTCATGGAATTATTGAGAGGGGACCATTAAATTGTGCCACAAGTATGTATATTGATAATTATAATACAAGTAAATTAATAAAGTTATGAAGTGGAAATACTATTATGAGTTAGTTATTGTAATTAAAAGAACTTATTGATTGTCATTTCTGTGCAGATTTCTATGTGCCTTGATGTGGACGTGTACATATATAAGAAAGTAGAAAAGTTTGTAGGAACCTGTGTAGCTTATGGTGGTGGTGGTATCCTGTGCTCATTTTCAATTCTGTCTTATTGGAAAAATTAAATGAAGAGAATCCTAATATTGACTGAGTACTTACTTGAAGTGTCGGTGAATGGCAAAGAGTTTTGTTGACATTTCGCACAAAGTGCAAAAGAAGGCAGTGGTTTAGAGTGTTTGTATGCAAATTTTATTTCTTTAAATTTATTTTATTATTATTATTTTTTGTACATACCAGTAACATAAAACTTGAGATCTTTCTGTGTGTGTCTATGTATGTGTAATGTTGCATTGCAATTTTTGTAATTTTTTCCACTTTTTGTAATTATTACGTGACTTCATAAAAGAATAAGAATTTTTATATGCATAGAAAAGAAAACATTTAATGGCTTAGATGTGTTGTCATGTGTGATATTACAAAATGGACTATGCTTTTAAAAAGCGTCTGTTTATTTTTATTATTATTATTTTTTAAAAAAGAGGAAGCTTATTCAAGCTTATAAAATTAATAGTATAAGAGGCTATAGGAAAGATAGAAATTGAAATGTGTACCATGTTAAAAAGTATATTAAATTTTTTTACATGTATCACTATTAAGTGATTTATGGAAAGTATGATATATTTATGAGAATTCCTGGTATGATGTTTGTAAACAGTATTTTTGGTATGGTCCATCAATATCATAAGTGATATTTCCTGTTTAAGTGAACATAGCAGCAGAGACTCAATTACCTTATCTGACTTAACCTGTGTTGGCATTTTTTGTCATTTACAGCAGGAGGTGTTTATTCATTGACATTTTAAATGACAATTGTTTTCACTTGCAAGTATTATGAATGTTGTTCTGAGTACATGATCAGTCTTCATTTCTCAATGTGGTGCTAGATAATTGAGTTTCTATTGCAATAATATGAATCCCACCTTGTTATATGTAAGCATTTAGACATCTTTAAAAGTGTTACTGAATATATTGTATTACACCAAGTATTTACTTTCATTGTTGATGTTTTTCTCGTATTAAAATTGATCTACCAAGTAGGTCAGTCCAGTATTTCGTAAGTAAATTAATTTGGTTGTGAAACAGTTTTGTACCATTGTCCATGTTTATACTGTTGACTTGTGCAATACATAAGACTTTTGATATCTGCAGAAAGCAAAGAAACTTACAATTCTGTCATATGTATGGTCATAAAGTAAGCTTGTCTTCTGCGTTAAGAGGTTAAGTGGTACCCAAATATTCTTGTCATTATCCTTATCAAAATACCAATGGTTCGTTACACTCTTAATTGAATTTTTCATTTTTAACTTCTTTTAGAAGTAACCACAGATTATTTGAATGATATAATGTACACTTGGTAAACACACTCAATATACATAATTTTATTTCCAATATTACTTGGATTTTGTAGACACTTTTCTTGTTTTATACAATATAAAGTATTTTCAAACAACTGATTTTATTGTTATGCTCATACAATCCAAAACAATTTGTGAGGAATCAGACTAAAACCTATCCTCTTAATCCTTTGATGTTCTGTGAAATACGTTAAAAAATTACATTCGCATAAAATAAAGTAAACATTCTTGACCATAATTATATATTGAATGCTTTTCTTAGTACTTCACTTCCAAAAGTGACATTAAATTATTTTATGTAAACAAGATGATAAACATATTTTATGAATAATATACAGTAAAACCCCGTTTTTATGTTTTCCTGCCTTTTATGTAATTTTTCGTTGATCCCGTTGAAAAGGCTATATTTACAATGCACTCTCTTCCAACAATTTAAAACTTTTTTCTTCTTCTATTTTTGTATACCTACGTATTATACCTAGTGCTGAGACACTTATGTAGGTAGAGCTGTGGCAAAAAACATAATGAGTTTTTCTGTACAAAAATCATCATTATAGAAAATGTGGATAAATCCTGTTTCAATATGTAGTAAATTACTACATATGTATGTAATGAACTAGCAAATAAAGCCTTGAGCAGGCAGGTTTGGCGCTTGCATTGACCAGACTGACAATCTGACATTTTGCCATCAATTGATTTTGTAGTTTCAAGGACCCATAAAACAGGGATTCCAGCTACACCACATGTTAGAGGAAGTAATTTATTATATATAGGAAAATGGTTTATCCACTTTTTCATTACCAGGGCTGTCAATACGATATTTTCTGATGAACATCGCCGATTCCAGCACTTGCTTTTACTTTCTCCTCTTAGGAAAGGCGAGAATGTGAAAACAGAGCTACCATTGTACTAAATAATGAAAGTGCTCGCCTAGCCTGTCGTTTTTCAACTTTCCTGCATATTACATTTTTTTCATCGGTCCCCTGAAAAGCGTTAAAAAGGGGTTTTACTGTATAATCATATAGTGGCCTTGATAACCCAAAGATGTTTTCCTGAATACCTATTTTAAGTTTCTTCTTTCAATGGTTAAAATAATAGTATTCAGAATGAGTGAACTTCATTATTTTCTACAGTTTAGGTGGTAGGTGAAGTAACATTTCTCTTCCTTTTAATTCACTAAATAATGAAACATTTTTTCTCATTAATGTTATTTTAATATTGCTATGTTAATGTAGGTTCATAGTATTCATGAATGGAAGAGAAAAATTCAATCGTCAACTCCACATAGGGTCACTAAAAGACTAGCTTCGGCCTTTCCAAGGCAATTCTTTCTTTACTGAAGGTATTTTATCTTTTCCAAAAATGTTCAGAATCCTCTAAATTCTTCTTACTTATAATGCGCCATTTCTTTCTATGTAAGTAAATAAACTAAAATTTGATGTTTGAACAAAAGAAAAGTACCAATTTTAATTTTTTTAGAGGACTGTGGTAAGTGAAATTAACTTAAGAATAATGTTTTGAACTACCATAAATTCTTTTTTCCTTCCCAAGACCTCTCTCCAGTCATGTATGAACATCTAGCAGTTAAATCATGCACAGGATATAATGAATATTCTCTGATACATCTAGATGTTGTGATCCTTCTAATTGAATGGGATCTTTTAATAATTACAGGTAATTAACATGACACCAAATTTAACATTTTTGAAGTTTTTCTCACATGAGTATGCTTATGAAAAGCAGTTAGGTATGATTTTCATTAAAATCTTTGAAATCACCTCGTTTAACATTTTTTTTCCTTCATACATCTACTTTATTCAAGATACAATTATTTTTGATTTGTTGTCAAATTTAAAATTTCACAAAAAATACACATTCATTTTTTTACAGATTGCATTAATTTCAAGCAGAAATTACATGAAAACTTTTCATTTTTTTCAAATTGTTCATGATCAACTGATTTTATTTACAAAGTTACTTAATCTTCAATATAAAACTTGCAATGTTAATATTTCGCAATTTTCGAAATTACAGAGTTAGCACCACTTTTTAAAACATCCTTTGATAAATAAAAGGCGTAAATTTAAAGACAGGAAAGAAAGAAAAAAAAAAAAAAAAGAAAAAAAAAAGGCGTTTTTGAAAAAGTAACTGTTTAAAAATTGCCTAGGTTTACTCATGTAACTCACAAAATACACATATTTTCAAAACATAGTACATGACCTCATTTCAAGGAATAAATTTCATTAAGGAAAAACATTTCTATCTTCAATATAATAGTTGAAGGAAGAATCCGAAAAACATTTTTAATTTTTGTAATTTTCAAAAAATGAGGTATTTCAATGAAAAAGAGACCTGCATGATTCTTTTAAGCGTCCTTTAAGGACATCATCAAAAAATTAGGAGCCACTTTTGGAAATATTTTAAAAATTTTGAGGATTCATGTAAAGTACTTAAAAAATAAAATATCAGAGGGCCTTCAGTTCCTTTAAATCAATCAAGGAAAATCAATTTTAAAGAAAATCGGCTAAACTGTTTTGGCCGTGACATAGACCACAGACACATGGTCAGGGAGACATTTTTCTGTCAATTGGTTTTTTGGTATCAAGGACTTAAAAAAACACATTCTGACTACACAAAGAGATGAGTAGAGGAAGACAATACATAACACAAGATTTATTCACTTCTTCGTTACCAGGGCCCAGCAATAATGAGATTTTCTGTTGAAAATTCACTGTTGGGGGAGGGTACACAAGATTACAATACTTCCTCTTTTTATTAAGTATAGGCAAGAAAGTAAAAATTATCTTCAACAATGTAATTTAGGAAGGGGTGTAGAAAATTTTAATTCCGTTATAAATATAACAAAATTAATATTTCTTTAGTAAAGAAAATAGGGTTTTTAAAAGTGGATCTAAGACTTATTCAAAATAAATAAAAGGATATTACAGCCAAACATTACTTATTTATTAACATAACATAAATATTCAAAAACCAAAATACAAAATTAAGATCTCATACAATAATAACAAGATTGACATAAAATTTATATTCCAAAAGTAAATTAATTATAAGCTTTCGTAATCACGCAACTAAACAAATCCTTGATCTCTTACGACCTTAATTCTTTCTTTTACATTATTATTATTATTATTATTATTATTATTATTATTATTATTATTATTATTATTAATATAACTATTTCTTAGGTATTTACAATTAATTAATAATTTTCAAACTGACTTACAGTGTTGCTTTTGATACGTATCTCCTGTAAATGGTTAATTAAGACAAAACATTCTTATTATAAAGATCATATATTGATTTACTTAAAACAGGTCCTATTTTTCGACACAATAAGCCATAAGGAATGTCAGACAAACATTTTGAATCTCCTTCTCTTTCCAAAGCCTTGAATAAAGAATACGGAGTAGGATATCTTTCTACAATTGCCAAAGCTTTGTCAACCGAGAGACCATTCAGTTGAACAAGGTGTTTGATAAACATGTCTCGAACAACTAATGTCTGCAATAAAAAAACTGTATTTCATTACCATCAAAAGTAGAATCCATATTGTTGGTCTATATATTAAACAATTATTTCAGTTTGCCAATGTTTCTTAATTTTATTTCTTTATCTTCAGGACTGTATTCATCAACAACACTGTTAGAACTGTATATAGCTCAGTAAATATGACCAGATGTAATGGAAACACACAAAAAAAATTTAAAACTTGCTGCGACAAAACGGCACAGACTTTCTCATACTAGTTTGATTCCTAATTTCTTTGGTATAGGCTAGCTTTTTGGTTTTGCCCCATCTCTTCCCAGATGCCATCTATCACCGGCCAAATTAACTTTTTTCAACTCTTTGCTTCCCCCAATGGTAGAACTGAAACATGTCTCTAAGTGTATCATAAAAGAATAATACCTCATCTTATAAAAATATTTATTGATAAATTAAAAGCAGTTTTTGAGAAAAAGTTTGAGCATTTCTGAAAACGCTCATTTTCACCACAAATTTTGTAAATTACAAGAAGCTTCATTGGAAATCATTTGAAGCAATTATACTCACAAATGCAATAATGTACAGGAATCACTGGTAATGACAGTATTAATGGCATGAACAATATTTAAAAATAATACATTTATGTAAGTTTTGAAAAAACAAAAAAATACATCAAAGTGGCCTGAACTATGAGTAAGATTTTTTCAAAACTGAATAAATCCCCGTTGATCTAGCCTCAATTGAAGATCTGCAATTTTGAAAAACATTCATTAATTTTTATTGGAACTTAACGTGATGCCCGTGGTATTTTCAAAATTTTTTCTTTAAATTTCTGGTACAAATTCTCACTGTTAACTTTAAATTTTTGAAAATTACGCAAGATTGAAATTTTTTGGCCTCTTTCTCCATCTACAAAATTAGAAATAAAAATGTTTCATTCAAGTATAATTTTTTTCTCATAATTAGTTCTTTCAATAAGGTTATGCACTTTGTTTTTGAAAATGAAAGTAGTTTATGCGCAATTTTTTCAATATTATAAAATAACAAAAACAAAATTTTCTCAAAGCTCCAAGTTTTTTCTTAAAACTTTAGCTAGGGATAGTGCTAAATGCACTCAATAAGATGGCGTAAATGCCATTTTGCTGTATTCTTTTGTTTTTTCAAAAATTACAAAAATGTTTTGTTTTTGACATGTCTATTATATTGTAAATATTTACATTAGAGGCAATTTGTTGACATTATTTCATTTATAAGCACATGTGCTTTAAATGATGGCTAACAACATTTCTCATAAACAGAATAGTTTTTTATGAAAGTGAGCTCAGAATTCTGTATTTTCAGAGAAACTCAAACACCGTTTTCTCAAAAACTGCTCCAAATAGTGTTTTCAAACTTTTTGTTTAGATAGTGCTAATAGCACTGTTTAACTCTTTGAAGTATGGTGGTATAAGAAGCATATCACCTTTGTTATATTTTGGAGGGGATGCTGCATGGAGGTATTTTTATAGTACTACTTGCGGGTACTATACTACTAGTTTCTGTGACTGTTGTTGCTGGATGTTGTGAGATGTCCTTTTCATGATACTTGGCACGCTTTTGCTTCAAAGTTTTTTGAATTTCTCCAAGTGTATCACGTGACGCATTAGTAGGTATTTCGGTCGAAGTCATTGAATTCAAATTGTTTGTTCCTGAGCCAATTTAGTTGTAAAGCACTACCACAAGGTACACTGCACACATTTTATTGGCATTGTAGCAAGAATAAAATAGGTGGTATCTTTTTCTTACCACTATTCATGTACTGGTATTATCTTCTCTTACCTATCTTGAAACAATGTTACACTCACACACCAATGAAGCTGTTTTTATTTTCCTTTTTGCGTTTTATATATTGAATAATGAACTTCCATCACTGTTTATCACAGTTAATATTTCAGAGAAATTTGGAGCAACAACAAGACTTGCTTCCATGATTATCACAAATGAAAATAATAATATTAATAATAATATTAATTTGTGTGTATTAATTGTGATGTCTTGCAAAATTTTTTATCATATTATTTCATTATTCAATCAATTAATTTTTATAATTTGTTATATTACATTTTTATAATATAATTTATTAGCCTTCAGTACAATGACATTGCCAAATAATTTTGTTTACAATTCATAAAACTGTTCTTTTTACTGTTAGTATGATACACACACATTAATACTGACGTCACCTTGCTACATGCATGGTGGTAAAACGCTTATACCACCCCATACTAAAATTAGTGGTGCTGCCATAGCAGATAATTTCTCACATAGTTTCTAAAAGCTCAGCAACATTACACTACTACATAACTAGCAAAAGTGTTATCGAATAGCTAATTATTTTTCCATTCAAACTCAGATTCTCAGCATTAACGTGCCGACACGCTTACCACTGCACCACAGACACGCTGTATGGTTCAAACTTTGACAAAGGTATAAGAAGGTAAATACCCGATTAATGTAAAAAATACCTTAAACATTCAAAATATCCATTTGAAACTCCCAAAGCCTCCAGTCCATTAAGATTAATCAAGGTATATCAATTTTGAAGAAAATCAGCTGAACGATTTAGGAGCTAGCGTTAACCACAGAGGGACAGACAGACAAACTGCAATCGATTTTGTCGTCAATCGTTTTTTCGGTATCAAGAACCAACAAAACATGGATTCTGGCTACACTACGAGTTACAGTGTTTGTTTTTTTTTGTTTTTTTTTTCTTCCTCCCTCCCTCTCCCCCTAAATCAATCAACAGGATTTATCCACTTTTTCATTACCAGAATCCGGCAATGAGGTTTATCCCGGAGAAATTTCAACATTTTCTGGTGCACGATTACATAACTTTCTCTTTTTACGAAGAATCCGTAAGGCGAGAAAGTAATAATAATTTCTGAACCGTTGGGAATATCTAAGTTGGTCACATGGTTAGTGTTCATAATGTAATTAAATTTCATGTCATAGATTCATTAGTTTACTTAAATTGTACAGAAACTCAAATAATGATTTGAACATGAAATGATTTACAAATCGCAAAAGAAAGCTGAAAAAATTGTTTAAAAGTTACAAATTGCAAAGGCTTGTATAAAGACACCCGACTTGTTTGTATATGTAATTATTGCATTTGTGGGTACAAATGCTTCAAATAATTTTCAATTAATTTTCTTGAATCCCTTATAGTTTTCTTCAACACTTTCATTCCAATCCCTGTGCGAGACTGGAATCGGGGACCTCTTGGTTTCAAGTGATGAACCCAAACATGACACTTAACAATCTTGGCCATCCAAGAGGACACGTCTGCCACACTTCCATATTACTCAAGACACAACTGTTTCAGTTCTAGCATTATGGAGTTGAGAAAATGTGAAAAGACAAGGGGGTTAAAAGTTGTGAATTTGAAAATCACATACACACTTCAAATTAATTTACCTTAATTGATTGTATTTGTAAGTAAAAGTGTTCAAATAATTTTCAATTAAGTTTCAGCAATTTTCAATAGTTTTGTTCGGCAACACAAAATTGTTACAAATAACTATTCCTTAGTGAGGCTCGAAAAAGCCAACCTTGCCTCCGAAGAACTGAGACAAAGCACCGGGGTCATACAGGAATTAGGCACTCTTATAATAGTCATAAGAGCTTTGTGTTTCAGTTGCAGTATTAGGCAGAGGGAAAATTAATAATATGTAAAATAAATGTCCTTTGGGCAGAAAAAGATTGCAGCTCAGCAGGCATAACTCGATGCAGTAAATAATTTTTCTGGTAAAAAAACAAAGAACTGTGAACAATAATTATCCCTGAGCCAGCCTCGAAACAGCTGCCCTTCTCCACGAAACGCCAAGACCGAACTCGAGATTTAACCACTTCGGACACCAGAGTTATACAGAGAATTAGCACTTCTATAATAGACATAAGTGTCGAAAGACAATAATTGATTTGATGATTCATACGTTTTACAAATCCAACAAAAGATGTTAAAAATTGTTTGAAAGTTAAAAATTCAAAAGTCACAGACATTTCACGAAAGACACAGACGTTTGTTTATCTTCATTAATACTATTTGCAATTAGAATTGCTTCAAATGGTTTTCAATAAAGTTTGCAGATTCTTCAATTATTTCCTGCAGCAACACAGAATTGTCACAAATAATAATTCTCTGACATTACTCGAACCTGCCAACCTTCCCTCTGAAGAGCTGGGCCATACCCACCAATTTAGTCACCTCGGCGATACCGTTAGGACAAAGAATACTTCTATTATAGTAATAAGTGTGTGGTGCTTTCTGTTCTAGCATTACAGAGACGAGTAATTGAGAATATATGAAAAAAAATGTTTTCAGGTGACAAAATGAAAGCAGCCGTAAAGAGAATGAGGCTTGTCGCAAGGTAGTCGAGAGTAGAGAGATTAGAAAACTAACTAGGGTGAGAACAAAATTTAATCAAAAAATTTGGAGTTGTTATTTTGAAAATGCCTGAAAGAACTACTACGAGAAAGTCTGTGCCATTCTGTAGCACCAGTTTATTGTGCGTTTTCTTTGTATTTGGTCATATTTATTGTGCTCGATATAGCTCTAACCATGTTGATGAATACAACCCTGAAGATGGGGAAATTAAACTTTGGAATGTTGGCAAACAGAAATAATTATTTAATTTATGATCCAAAACCCATATGGATAATAAAAATATATAATTCACTATCAAAATTTATGAACAATTATAAAATTTTATGGATATATACATTACCTTATTTTTCATGGATGAACTGTTAAATTCTTGAAATGACATTAAAGATATTATATCATCATTAACTGAAAACGAAGGTAAGTCTTTCTTCTTGCATGTAACAAGTGTTTTTCCCTGCAAATTCTTTACCTTTAAATACTTGTTTTTCATACAGGTACAAACAGGATAATTAATTGTTGAATTAAACTGTAAACTTACCATGAACAAAGTTCCTAAATAGTGAGAGAAATGTGCAAGATATAATGCAGACTCCTTGTGGTTACCTGCATATTTAACAATAAATCCATCTGTCACTTCAGTATTAGTAGCAGCTTGGTTAAGTGTTTCAAGAGGGAGAGCTGTATGACACTCTTTGCCATGTTTCTCCACAAGGTAAATGAGATTAGGAATACCACATTGTTTCAAACGGAACTAAAAATATTGATTCATTAATTATTGATAATTAATGATTAGATGTCCTTAAAATAAAAATGATAAATAATACCTTCTGTTCCCGAAATCTCCCATCCATTATACTTTGAGCAAAATCATCAATGCGTTTTCTTTCTATTACATAAGGTAAAACCACTTCCTGACCAGTTTTGCGTTCTCTACAAATCCAAGTAAAATCACCTATCTTCAAATGGCGAACTTCAAATGGTACATTATGTTTATGTAGATCATTTAAAGCAGAATCACATTTTCCTTTTCGCCCAGACACACTATAAGATGAAAATGTTGAAGGAACCAATAAGGTAAAAGTTAAAAGTAAATTTAAATCACTAAAATAGATATTTAGAGTGGCACGTACCCTGATGATTCTTGAGTATCCACCAGTAGTATTATATCAAATGACCATGGAGAAAAAATTATTGTGTTTTCTTCACGAGAGAGTGGTTTATGACTCTCAAACGAAGAAACCTATAAAAAAATTCCAACATGTCAGTCAATTCAATTTGGGATTACTATTTTTACAAAAGCCAGGAAAATTTGAAAAATATGTGACACTATGAAATACAGAGACTTGTACTGAAAAGTAACAAATAGTAACATCAAATATTCAGAATTTCCATTCTGTTTTATGAAAATAATTTTCTCATCAAAAAAGATACAGAAGTGTATCTACAAAAAATGTGAAGACTGTGTCACATATTGCTATAACTATTTCATCACATGATCTTCATAATAGCGAAGACAAATATGAATTCCAAATTCTCAGAAATGACAACAAATAAAAGAATACTGTAAGTTGATCATTTTCGGAGTAGTATCAAGCAGGCAATCTTAAGGCTGTATTGATGACACCAAAAATATTTAATGTCAGTATTGAAATTCCAAAAGTTTCAATCATCTAGACATTATAATTTTTCAGTTTTACATCATCAAACATTTGGTTTTCATTGTTAATGGATGCTGCAGCTTCAGAAGCTTGTTAATTAACTAGTTTGACATTCTGTATGCAAAATTAAAATTTTGATTTAATATGGGATAATATAATTTCATCCAGCTCTTCCTTAAAAGCATGTCACAAAAAAAGGCATTTCACAAAAAAATTCTACACAGCAGCTTCTCCACCCTGAGCTGAGGCAGCATGTGTTAATTCCTGTTAATTCTTGAGAATGGTATATCCAGTTAAAAAGGAGGAGGAGGAGGTGGTGAAGACAACAAACAATAGTCATTTTTGCCCACCAGCTTTCTTTCAGAACTGTAACCTTCAGTCTGCAATATTCTGTTCTTACAACACTATTGTGCTTTAAAGCAGTGGTACACAAAGCAGATGCAGAGATACTAAATTGTTTCCCAGACTAATCCCTGACACATCAAACAGCATACAAACCTAAATAAACAACAAAACATAAAAACATGTAGACTTGTTGAAAAGTAAATAAATGTATATACTTAAGGAGTGAAATATATAAATAAATGAAGGGTATGGTGTAAGTGTAAATGTAAAGTGAGATATGAGAAAGTATTTTTTTTCTGCCAGTTGTGAATTACCATAGAGAATATAATACTATGGTGTCACTTGTGGTCATAAAGCTGAAAGTTTTGGGACAATCAAAATAACTAAAGTACTATCTATGTAAACAGTTACATATCCACAATTTCAATTTCCACAGATATTTCAAATGACTTTTTTTCTTCTTCTTTCTTTTCTATTTCTTCCTTCATTTCTGACCATTTTTTTTTTTTCTCTTTTTTTCTCTTTCTTCTAATTAAGAACTTTTATAATTCACATTTCAAATGTGAATATAGTGACTATTGCTGATTAGGAAATTGACACAAGTACTATCGACTGATTTCAAGGCATGCTTTTGAGAAACAAAAATTTCTTTAAATAAGAATTTAAAATTGTTAATTTAAAAAAAAATCATATTTTAAAGAAAATCTCACTATTATACATACAAACATACTTTGCTCCAAAAGAACTTAAACCAAATATTTTTGCATCAAAACTTTTATTGGTACTGTTTCACCCTTGACATATTTTGAGAGAGAATTTTAAAAACATGAATTCATTTATAAAGTAAATTAATATTCTAACTGAATCACTAAACAGAGAAATAAAAACATAACTTGAAAATTAAATTTCCGGTGAATTAAATTTAGAGTAGAGTAGAACAGAAAATTCTGTATAAACAAGAGTAGAATTTTCTAAATTTGCACATTTTAAAAATGAAAATTTAGAAACATCTACTCTTGTCATTTTCAGTAACTTAATGAGTTCTTAGTTTATCTTACCATGGCTGGGGCAACTTCATTATAAATTGTTTTACTAGAGCATGAAGGAAGTGCATGGTTGTCCACACTTGGTTTGACAGTATTATTACATACAATAGCATCTTCATCATTTATACCAACATTCTCAATCTTTCTGGCAACATTTTCTCCTTCAACTGTCAAGGAATATCTTAAAAAATAAAATAAAAAGATTTCTTGAGTAAAATATTTTAAATTCTCTGTAACTATGGTTAGTTATGGTGCTCAACCATTCAATAAGAGTGAGTTTCTTGCAAGCAATTAAAACTCTATTCAACTTATAAAACATTAAATTAACACAAATGTTCTCATCCACATATGATTTGAAGAAATATTTAAATAAAGGAACTACATTTGATTTCTAGTTTCATCTTATAGTAGGATTTATTTTGAGCTGCATTTGAAGTAAATCAGGTTTCATCCAATCAGAAGCTTTAGATCACTACAGTTATGTCACTACGGTGATGTTCAAGCTCCCGATTGAATGAAACCCTTTTACAGCTGTTTTAACTTCAACACAGTCTGAATAAATCCAAGTAAATGTGAATGTAAGTCATAGAAGTCAATGTAGTGAGTTACATTGTAAAATGGATTTTCAAATTGTTACTGCTATGCTACTCTACTCATCATTGTTCAAAATGTCATCCTGTAGCTTTTCCTGTGACCTTTAAAACATTCTTGTCTCGCACTATAATAAAAAGAGTTTTTTTAATAAATAATGAATTCCATACTAGAAGCAATTTAGAAAATTTAATAAAAAATGAAAATAATAATAGCATACTACAGACATGTTAAAATTATTAGACTAAAGACATTTTCATAAAAGATTTGCATTTATTACATGTTTACATTTTCGTACATGCTACAGTCATACATTTAATACTTACTGTTAGTGTGCGTGCCTTTGTTCTTAATCAACAACTTTATCCTGTCTGGCATAAAGTTTACTAACTTTTCACCTGAGTTTTTAATTTCATTGTTGGGGTACCAAATCTCCTCTAATTTGTTCACAACCTTATTCTTCTCTCTCTTCTCTCCCATAAATTTTCTGTGGGGTTCAAGTCAGACCTATTCCATGGCCATGGTAACACTTTAAATTGCTTCTCTTCCAAATTCTTGAAGACATTTTTTGTCTTTGTGGCACTGTGCTTCACCATGCATAAAAATGCCATTTTCATTAGGGTACCACTCTAATTTGGGGAAAAGTGCCTCTTCAAGGATTTTTTGTATTGGTATTGCCTCATAGTCCCTTTGATAATGTTCAAACTGCCAGGACCTTTCACAGATATCACACTTAACAGCGTTTTTCTCCTATTATATCTTGGAACTTAGAAAAGACATGCTTTAGTCTAATAATTTGAACACAACTGTATGGGAACTGACATCAATCAATGCACTGGGAATCAAAGAGAAAAAAATGGAATGGAGAAGGGAGAAACAAAAAATAATTAAGAGTGATTTGGAAAGGTAAATAATGAAGGGAAAATGTTACTTATTGGATATTAAGTCTTACTTTCCACGACCTACAGACGAGACCAATCCTTTCTTGATGAGAGAAGACATAGATGACCAAGCAGTGTAATATGAACCAGCTTCTGGTCTTGTAAATGATGTATCGCATAGAGGTTGAGCAAGTTTTATTAATTCGCTTTTTTCTACAAAATCTACAAAACCACTTGGTTAATACACCACACAAATGTAATCAAAAATATTGTGACCTTAATGCTAGTGACTACTTATATACCTGTATATTCTTCCTTTCCCTTGGCTTCTAATAAGCCTCGTAAAATTGCATAGGCTCCAGATCTGTATGCTGGGATGTATTCACCAGATTTTCTTTTCACATTACGTTCAGTAGAGGACTGCCAAGATAAACAAAGAATACAAACTCAGATCGGTTAGGTCACTTCATAAAAATTATAATTATTTGCTGGCAATTGTCAATCAGTTTAAAGCTTCAAAAATGACTAACTGTTCAGTTTTTGTTAAAATTAGTTATTAGAGACAGAACTTAGTTTAACACAATGAAAATATTAGTCCACCCTCTTTATTTAAGGACAATGATATCAATTAATAAGTTTCATACTTTTAATTCCAAAAGTTTAAAGGAGAATCCTAAAAACATGAAAGTTAAAAATATTGTCCCAGAAATTGATAATAACCAAGAGAAATGGCAAGAACACATCAAAAGAATGAAAATAGAACATTTCCCAAGAAAAGACCCCTCGGAAGCTACTGGGGCGATATTCAGAAACCAAAGGAACAGGCCTAGAGACCTATACCTTAAATGTTCCTGATGGTAAGTTTTAAAAGTCACAACATTCTACCAATCATTAAACTTTTTTATAGGAGCTCTAAAAACCAATACATAAAATAGGTAGCAGAATTAACAGAAAGGTTGTATATAGTTAACTTAATTTCTAATTGAAATCAAAACTTATGCTTGGAAAGGAAATAAATGATACAAATCTTAAATCAAATAACCACGACTTAACTTCAAAATTACAAGGTCAAAAAAACTAAAAATTGTCCTAAGCAATATTACCAAAAGAAAGGTAGAAAATACAAATGTCCACTACCAAAAGAAAAATTAGTTCAAACCCCAATATGTTAATTCTTAATTAAAGCAATAACAGAGAGACAGATTGATCATATCAAAAGAAAGTTGTGTGTCAAATGAATGCACGAATGAGAGATTAATAAAAACTAAATCACTTAAATCAAAGGATTGAATAAATAGATTTTTTTTTTACATTGACCTTTATACCATTTATGTGAATCATGGTTCACTCCATTCAACACATCCAAGATTTATCTTATTTCACACTCAATATTTGCAATGTTTTCAAAAATATAATACCTTTTTTGCCTTGCCATTCGGAGACTTCTTATGTTTTTTATTCATCTGCGGCAACTCATTTTCAGGCTGAATAAGATTCAATCTCTTAGGAGATTTAACTTTCACACACTGATTGGGATCAACAGTGAATATTTCTGTAACAATACAGCAAAATATATAGAAGTAAGAAGGGTACCAAACATGAACATAGTTAAATATAACAGTACCTTCTGGATTTAGTTGTTTGTATTCAGCTAGTTTTCTGTCTAACATAACACATAATCTATTGCCAAAATTCTGCAGAATACCACAATCCCGACCAGAACTCAGGGGCAATGGATATTTCCTTAACGATGTCAAAGCCTGGGGAAAATGAAAATGGACTTGGAGAATTGATTGCCTTTTATAACAAATTTCAATTTTCAACAATCTTCAACTCGCAGATCGCACGTTATTTAGTATATTTTCAAAGTACCTTCCCAAAACAATATTGCATGTCAGAACCTTTCGCAGCAGCTTCATCTCTCCATTCTTGCAGCCATTTTTCAAATAAGGGGTTAGGTTGCTTCAACTTTACTTTTATTCGCTTCATTTCAGAAGCCATTTTATATCTATCTGGGTCTTTGGAAAAATTCTCTCCGAATTATGAAGTTCTTGTTGGAAGCTGACAAGGGGAAAATAGCTTCACAGGCAGCCGAAAAGTCCAAATATTGTTTGCAACTTTGCTATTGACACACCATCCAATTAAAACTACCAACTTCATTTACTTCCAACAAATTCACACTCAACACGAAAAACGTCAATAAAAACTTAATCTCCGACGGGCAAGTCCTATGTTGAAATGTTTTAAATTTAAGAGTTCGTCTTGTCAAATTGCAACAAGTTGCAACTGGCGCCAATGGTAGGAACAATCGGAACAATCCTGGAACAATCAAGAAATGGCCCTGGGGGGTGGGGGGTCGTGGGCATCATATCTGACTTCAGAAAACGAATCTCATATGAACCAGATGCGTCACAATATTAGCGGGAATTTTAAATGTCAGATAGTTACAAGTCATTGAAACAGATATTACTCGCGCAACTTTTCTTGAACATTGACCTTGCTCCCCCCTCTCTGGCACAATAAGCAGATGAAGGCAAAAGCTCGCAGCGAGCACTGACGACAATATTCCAAACACATCTTCACTGACGCGAAATAGAAACAATTTTCTTTTGAAGATGAGAACTTCTATCGGTTATTTTCTCCAAAAATTTAAAGAAATGTCCGAAGCAAATACGGATCTATCACAGGAGATACCTCGAACTCCTGATAAAGTTTGAACGTAAATTATTGGTACGTTACGAAGGCGTGACTGATTCTCCAGAGATTGGCATTACTTCATAAAATCTAGTAGCCGGTTTCGTAACTAATACCCTCACTCTACCTGCATTTCTTCAACCCATCGTTCAAGAAAAGTTGTGCGAGTAATATATGAAACATTCATTTCAAATATTGCATTTTATACATATTCATCATGTTATTTTTGGAGGTTACCATTGAAAATAGTCCCTTTATACCACTTTCAAAATGTTTCTCAACACTTCTCTCTCTTCATGGATCATGGAAGCTAGAGTCTGTTCTTTTGCCCATGTATATACATGATATATTTTAGTATACTTGATCGAAGGTCTAGTCTGGCTTAGCAAACGAAGTGCCCGTGCTGTGGTCACGTGGTTCGTGACGCAAAGAAAATCGTTCTTGCGCAGAGAAAATCGATGGGCCAGAGAAGCTTACCCATTTATTTCCACCATGGTGCCTTGAAGATCGTGATGTAAACAAATGTAGTAATTAATATAGTATCTTATTATTGAGCCAATGTTCTTAAGTACACCAAGGGTCAAGGTTCAGGGTAATGTGTAATGCCGAGTAATTGTGGCGAAGAAACCAATCGTCCGGGGCCAACAGCTTTATCGGAGGGTGACTCATAATACATTTCCAAATGCAGCATTCGTTGGGCTCCGTGAGCAAACGAGCAGTCACTTCTCTTTACTTAATGAATCAACATCGGCGTCTTTTATTAATTTTAATTTTTGTGCTTACTCATCATTTTATAATGAGGAATCCTGTGGCAGGACCGTCTTCTCTAAAACATAAGAGAGGCAACCCATCAACACGAGTTGGAAAAATATATGTTAAAGTCTTTATTTTGGTAACGATTAAAGTAACGATTTGGGTGTTGAACCCCTTCCAGACGAGTCTACATGAGTAAGGTAGGCGGTCGGAAATGAGGATAACTTCATGTTTGTTTGTTTTTTCAATATAAATCAGTACAAATTGCTCTTATGAACAAGTTATGTGCTGTTATATCTCACATAAGTTATTAAGGTTATGTGCTCGTCACAAAAATTAATCAAAATACATTAAAACCTTCTCAAAATCAAATTTCCAAAAATTTGCATTTGACCCCCCATTGCGCCCGCATGTGGATAATGGGTATCACTAAAGAAATATGAAGCAATATGAACACAGAAGTATTTCAAACAGTATTTATTTTGTTTACAATCATGGTAAACGTGTAATGTGATGTGACTAATTTCCTCAACTCCGTAATTGTAACTCCATAAAATATATTTGCAAGCTTCATTATGTGTTCAGAAGTTTCATTCTGGTAATATTTTTGCATCCCATACGAGATGGATCCACATTCAAAGGTCTGTACATCTTCTGAACCGTGCTAAATGGATCACCGTGGACAACCGCAGCTCTGCGTACTTTGCACCTTCATTAATTGCTATAATTGCTGTAGCCAACTGTGCTAATGATCATTCTTCTTCGTTGCTTATTCGTTTACGATTTCTGGTCATCTGCTAGCAGCAAACTCATTCAGATCAATAAATTATTTTGTTTGGAGCCATGGTTGTCACGCTGCAAGCAATGAGAATCACTGACCACCATTACCCCTCAAGTACACTTTTAATATAACTGCTCATAAAAAATATAAAATGCTTAAAATAATCATAATTGGTATCGAATAAGAGGGTGAAGAACTTCCCTTCCAACAAATTTTAATTCTTCCATAAATCTCAAAGTTCATTTAAGTATGACTGGAGGAGCCATCTAATGTCGGCAATTGACTTGTTTGGGAGATGCTCTATAATAGCTGCCAGCTCGACCTTTTACCAACAATAGCTTCTCGAAGGACCATTATGTTTATTAATGAACATACACACTGTAGAGTTCTGAAATAGAAGTACATAATATTCCAGGGAAGTTACTATCATTCGGGTACTTCAAAAGACTTGACTTGAAATAAGAGATACAATTGGACTAAATAATTATTACATAGAATTAATTAAATGCACTCTCATACAAGATTGTATAAATAGCTAGTGAAAACACTGTAGGAATTTTTAGAATTGAAATCATTTTAGGACAAATGATAATTAACCTTTTAGCTATGGAGTTTTTTTCCTTCTGCACTCCTAGCGGTACGGACTTTTTTAAATAGATGAATTTGCTTGACTCCTGGGAAGGTTTAACTTCGGCGAGTGATGATAGCTACCCTCCCAGTGTTGAAAGTCCTTCTTGATAGAAATTTAAAGGGATTAACTGAGTAAGACAGTATAAACTTTTCCTCTGCAAAATGAAGTGATATTATTTTATGCAATGATCCTCTTTCTGTTTGTTTTTTTTACTTTTTTTCATTCTTTACGCCACCCTCTCCGTCTGCACAACGTTGCATTTCATGTTAGCGGAGAGAGCATGAGTTTGTCAATAAGCTGTCTTTAGAACATCCGTTGTTATATCGGATACTTCCATTCCTTGATCTTGCTTGATACGCCCGACACTCCTGTCAGCATAATGCGTGGGACTGGAAAATTATCTGTTTTTGACCATATCGTGGTCCAGTGATCTTCCACAGTTGATTTCTCCGGTAATTTTCCTGAATGGACTTATCTTTTCAGATTCTCATAGAACTCTTTCTGATTTTTAATAAAATCCGATTGTCTTTTTTCCTTTTCAAGCGCCTGGTGTAGCGTCGTATTCTTTGCAAGTAGACACTGAGTTGTTTGTTTTGAGAGTATCTATATCTATTCAAGTGTATTTTGGTTTTCGTTGTATTGCGGCATGTTTGCAGTATTTCCTCCTGATTCTTGATACTTTCCTTCTGATTGCGCGTCTTTTTGCATCCTTTCTGAAAGGCTTCGATAATGGCAATGTCAGATCTGAGTTGTTTTATCTTCTCTCCAGCCGTCTCTTCCAAGGTGGTGTGTATTCTTACGATGGCTATATGGCTGTTTGGGATTTTAAAGATTTTCCCCCACTTAACTTCACAATTGCTAGCGAATGTCAGTAGATAATTGAGTCTAGTTGCTCATAGGTCGTAATTTGTCTGACTTCATTGACAAGTATTTCTTCATTTGCTAACTTGTTGAGGTTGCCAGTTTTTTTGAATGAGTGTGCCTAGGTATTTTTGGTCTAAAATGAGGAGCAAATCCCCAGTATTTGGCTTTTTCTGCTCTATTGTTGTTTAAGTTGGTTAACTAGTTGGTTATAGACCATCTAATTGCTGTGTCGCTAAGTTGGGTTCCAAATCTTGTATTGGTAGTTCAGAGGTTGCTCTAGCTGATTCTGGAGTTTCTGAAATCTCATGCTGTTGTATTTCTGAATTAAAGTTCCTGCCGGTAAACTACACAATTTGTTCCGCAACGGGTAGCACGGAGATAAATTCTGACTA